TATTTGTGTAGCTTTTGTTTTTAGGGTTATCAACAAAGTTTATGTACTCRGACCAGTAATATTTGGGGTCACAAGTTTTTGCAATGAATATTTTAGATAAAAAGTTTGGGAACCACTGCTSTATAGAGAAGTATGGGTTGATCTATTCAGGAGAGATATTTTAGGTAATCTCTCTCTACAGTCCACTCCAAGGTTGACGTATTAAAGCCACGTCTGGATAATTAAAACATAAATAAATAATTTCCAGAGCAGCAGCAGCGTTTAGTGCGCGTTAAGCAGCTGAGGAATGTTTTCAGGGACTAAAATAACCTTCAGCTGGTCTGTCCGAGAGGTGATGGAGGCACATTTTCCACTGCAGCTCCACTTTGATAAAYCTTGATAAAAAGCTGCATCCAGCCCCTCCCTCCCCTCCACCCCGGACCCCTCCCCTCGCGTCGCCTCGCCTCCTCCTCGCGCGCCGACTCCCGGAGATGGGGAGAGAAGTTCGCCCCGCGGCGCGGTTAAATGAACATTAAACTGCGCTTCAGCATCGGTAAGCTGGGGGGGAAAAGATAATAACAACAAAAAAAAAGACCTCCGGAGAAGCTTTCCAGGGAATGCTGAGGAACATCCCACAGCGGAAGACTCACCGGTTCCAGCTTTTCAGAAGAAGAGCGAAAAGKGGAAAAAGGAGACCTCAATTAATGCGCAGTTAACTGTTAGAAGAAGTGGGACACTCGGGTCAGTAAAGGGACACTCCTGCTTTTATCTGCGTGAATTCGCGGAGGTCCTAAAAGACAGGAAGAGAGCAGAGCAACAAGAAGAGCGAAGTGAACGGGACTCAGGATGAACAGCAACAAAACCGAGAAGGAAAACGAGCAGAGTGAATTCACCAACCACGAAGAGGAGGTAAGACCTTTTAAACTACCTGCTGCTCTTCAAATCCTCTAAAACCTTCCATTATTTCCTCAGTTTTACCCGGGAACCTCAACCATTTCCGTGCTTTAATCCAGCCTCATAAAAGTTTCAACAACTGCTCTCCCCTCCTTTTTAATTGATCAGACTCTACCTGCAGGCATGAGCCAGTTAAATTTTTTTTATTTATTAAATTTTTTTAAACAAATCTCAACTTTGACATCATTTTACCTGATTATTATTTATATTTTTTGTCATATTACGAGAAAAAAAAGTACACAAAAATAAACAACTTTATACACTGTAAAAAATGACATGTTGGATTTACTTAACCATGTTATGTGACCTGGTTCCACTTAACAGAGTTGAGTAAATTCAAAGCAAATWTACCAGTTTTTTTTTAACCAAAGAACATGTGTATGTTGCTTTGAATTTACTCAACTCAGTTAAGTGGAACCAGGTCACATAACATGGTTAAGTAAATCCAACATTTCATTTTTAAAGTGTAACTTTGGCCAAGTTGTATGTTGGTGTAGAGGGAGAAAGAAAAAGACAAAGTTCAGATTAATCTTAGTTTGTAGTGAAGCCGAGCAAAACAAGTTTAAACTAACATGTTGGCTATAATTCCTCACAAACCCAGATTTATAGAATTAAATATTGTGTTTAATTCTAATTCATCCAAACACACAAGACGCACGATTTAATCATGTTCTAATAGAAAATCACAGTCTGTTTTCTGTAAATATTGCACAACTCGTTCTACGATATCTCAGTTTTCGAGTGTCTTTGCATGGGGTTGATTTGCTTTGGCCTGTTCGAACAGCCCCCCTACATCCACGAATAAGTATAARAGGTGTATCAGATTAGATCAGATATTCCTCCCGGAGTAATCTGATTACGGCTCGGCGGTAAGACTTCGTCACTTTGTAACTGAATACCGTACCCAGACTGATGCAACACCACGTTCGGTCCACAGTGGAGGGTTACTATGGATGCGGAGAGTTTTTGTTGCACCACTCACACGAGGTAAAAGGGTGCAGTTCTTGGAAACAGTGCAGTTTAAACCTCCACTGACCCCAGGAGATGGAGCCGTCAACAGAAAAACACAGCTCTAAATAAGGGGTGTTTACCTAGGTGAAGTGAGTATTTTATACGGTATCAGAGGGTACACAGGCCCACGGCACCCTGTTGGGGAGTTTGCTTTGGTGTGASCAATATAAAAAATGCTAAATGGATTAAAAGGGTTAGTTTGATCCGTAAACTGTTCCAGTACCGTAGTAGCTGATACGAAACCTGAAATAATACATCTGATTCCAGGTTTTATTCACTCTGACTGAACCCAACACGGTGTCTTTGACTGAGCTCTGAAGATTGTACAGTATTAGAAAAACGAGCGTTTTCAATTTTCTTAAGTTCTGCCATGACAGTAACATTTGTGATTTAAACATCTGCCCTTACTTTTGTTCCTCTCTTATCCCAATGCTCACAAGCCTCTCCATTAAAAAACAAAACAAAAACAAGCAGCTGCAATATTTTTGTTGAAGTTCTCTCGGGTGGACACAGCTAAACTAAAAGCTAACATCGCTAACTTTTAATTCGCTAACTAAAAATACAGTTAGGCAAATGATAAAGACTAAACATGTATAACATTAGTGAAAACTAATTGTAAACAGATAAACAGGTAAAAAAAAATAGCGGAAGCTAACAACAGCTAGCTGCTAAGATGACAATCACTCAGGCTGTGTCCAAAACGGCAGGCCGGGTCCTCCGAAGGTCGAATTTGTCGGCCGCATACGTCACAGCGCCGCGACGAAGGACGTCCAAAACCGAAGACTCCTCCGATGCGGCCGACAAATACATCCTTCCTTTGGCCCGAATCGAAGGACAGGTCTGATGGATCCTTCCCGGCCCAGCGTATCCCATAATGCTTTGCGGCCCAACCGGAGATTTTTTTTTGTGCTAGTAATGGCAGACGAAGCGAGAGAAAAGAATAC